TCTAGTCATAGGGCCTTCACCACCACAGGCCCTAGAGACTGATTGTTTGCTAAAGCGGAGCAAGATGCCTCATTTCAGAAAAATGCCGTTTGGCTGGCTGGCTTCTTTGTGATTCATACGTGTGGCCAACGTGCAGCACTGGTGTTGGGGAGGCTACACACAGAGGGGCTGGAGGTTTCCCAAGAAAGAGTTGAATATTTCTATTAAATTCCAGCATAGAGGCATAATTCTGTGTGTCTGTAGATGACAGGGTGCCTGCGTGTGCAGGAAGGACACTATAGGGGGTCTGCAAGGGTAAATCATAGCATCATTTTTCTGGGTTGGAAGGAGCTGTTATGGGTCGCTTAGTGCATCCCTCTGCAGCCCTGACAGGTTTGAGGTACAGGGCCCTGCCAAGTAGCTGAGACTTTGTTTAAACTGAAGGAGTGGCGATTCAAACCTGAAACGTTTCCATGGTTATTTTTGCATCAATGAAAACAGTTTTGTGAGGGGAATTAACCAGTCCCTGCAAGGCTGGAAACCCAAACGTCACTGAACGAGGCTAGTGCGGAAGAACGAGACAGTGAAATTGAGCAACTTAGCTTCGTTGTCTGAACCGGAGCTGGTTGAGTCATCCCTAAAGAATCCTTGATTTGTGGAATTTCGGTTCGTTGCCTGTCTGCAAACGGATCGCAGCTTTTCTCGCATTTATTTGTTGTTGGGAAATGACTCACTGGCTCATGTCTCTGAATAGTTCAGGGTCTGTGGCTTGTTTGTGAGTGGTTTGTTGCAAGAATTTGACATTCAAGCTGTTTTGATTGGACCCTGGGCTCACATGGTATGTTTCCCTCCCCAGAACGGATGAGCTGAGCGTAACTCTTAGAATCAGGGCTCGTTGTTACTAATTAGCTAGCCTGGTGATATTCACCCTGTACAGAGGGCGAGCACCAGAGTGCCAGCTCTGAGTCAATAGGGATGCGAGAGAAGCTTGACATTATTCCAGCTGCTTCTCCATGTATAATGAAAGTGTTTACAGCTCCTTGTGAGCACAGGAGGACGGCTGCTGTCAGAACCATCTGGGCCCTATTTCATCATGTTTATTTTGAGTTTCCAGGGTCACTTTTTTTCTCTCTGGTAACGTTAACCTCTCTGCTGGCGGTAGAGCGTTCAGACAGGGCTATGGCAGCAGGGTCTCGCTGCCATCCACTCGGGTCAGGTTCGTTGGGCTGCATCAGGAGAGCATCTTTGTCAGATGTCCCTGGCCCCTTGCTGAGGCTAAGTGAAGATCTTTGTGAGGGCAAACGTGAGATCCATTCAGGGCAAAACTGGCTTGCGTTTAGGAACCAAACCAGGGACCTGGCAGGGCGACATTCTGGAGAGCTTTGTGCGGAAGTGGGAGAAGATAAGACCCTGCGGGCTGGAGGGTCAGTTGGATTGTGAAGATTTGCTTGTGTGGTTGTCTCTGAAACGTTTCTCGTGGGTGTGTCCTTAGAGAGAGAGCGGCTGAGCCCAGGCCTGGGAGCCAGAAACTCTTCAGCTCGAATCCTGGCTCTGGCATTGATCTTGGGCAAGCCCTCACCCTCTCTTCTCCTAGCTTATTGGCTTTCCTCTCCTGGATGCTGGGGATTAATCATTGTTCCTAGAGTGTTTTGAAGGCGAACAGGCAAATACATCACTGCCGTCAATGAGGGTAACTCCACTGACGTCAGTGGAAGCTGACTCCCATTTTCATTATAGCCATTGTAGTCGCACTCCCTTATCCCAAGGGTGAATTTAGCCCCAAAAGCGTTACCCGGGGGGAGCGTCTCGCTCTCTTTGTAGAAGCAGCAGCCTTTGCTCTCACCGATATTGCCAAGGAGATCTGCTCTGACTCGTTACCTCTTGTGCCGCCTTGGGCCCCGCAATTCGAAAGGCAAAACGAAAGGGTGGGGTTTTGACTTGCCGTGGGCAGAACGGGAGAGCAGAACTCTTAGAGTCAGGTGCAGCTGCTTTCAGTGGGACCCTCGTCCTCCTCCCTAGTCACAGAGACGCTTTCGGAAATCGCACCTGTTGCCACATGCCGCCGGCCAGATTCTGACCCCAGGTAAACGATGGCGGCTTCCACTGAAGGCAATGGCAGTCGCCACTGTGACCCTGAGGGCGGAATGGGCCCGGTAGGTTTAAACAGAGAAACACTCCTTGATTTGACAAAGCTCAGTGTACGTGCCAGAACCAGTAAGGCAGTGGGGGGCACGCCCCTCTGAGAGCAGCGCTTGGCTGCGAGTGTGTTTCAACATGGACTCTTCTGACTCCGTTCTTTTGCTTCTGCAGGGAGCATCACGGCTGGGAAGCCGGTGTCCCAGGACAGAAAGATCACCCCCACGACAAGAGACATCACCAATTCCAAGTCTCCTCACGCTACTCTATCGGACCATCACCATCCCATCTCCCCCTACGAACATTTACTCCGGGGAATGAGTGGTGTCGATTTGTACAGAGGACACATTCCATTGGCCTTCGACCCCGCTGCAATTCCCAGAGGAATTCAACTGGAAGCAGGTACGCCTTTATTTGGGGCACTTGGCAGGAGCAGCCCATGGTCAGCTGGGCAAAAAATCTGCCTTGGGCTCCATTGCTATGAATGTAGCATAGCTGAGAACAGAATGGGACAATTTCTGTTCTAAGCTGTGTAACAAGCCGCTGGCTGGCTGGTGACGTTCCGTTTCACAATGAGCAATGGAAACAGGCTTTTAAAGCAGTGCTGCCTTGACTGTTGAGTAACTCTTTGGCTTAAAGCTGCGTCTCGGATGAGCTCTTCTCTGACTCAGTTCTGTCCTTACCCTGACACTGCTCCGGTGCACAGTTGGCAGATGAAGGCCCTGAGACAGCAAAAAGCCAGCTTCCTCCACCCTCGTGCCCACGGGGGCTGAGGTCTCTGGTGTGTTGCATGGGCCTCCCCAGCCCGATGCCAGATGGAGGGTTCCTGGTGCTCACTGATTTGGGCCTTGGCTGTTCCTAAATTATCCCACGTCCCAGCTGATGCTCTTGAGCGCTGCAGTTTTCATGAGTCAGACTCTGCCGCCCTCTTGTAGGACCGTACTGCATGAGAAACTGACTGGTCTGAATCTTCTCTTTTAGCTGCTGCTTACTACTTGCCCAGACATCTCACTCCAAGCCCGACGTACCCCCATCTCTACCCTCCATACCTCATCAGAGGGTATCCAGACACTGCCGCCATGGAGAACAGGCAGACCATCATCAACGACTACATCACCTCCCAGCAGATGCACCAGAACGCCGCCGCCACTGCCATGGCTCAGAGGGCGGACATGCTGCGCGGACTTTCGCCCCGAGAACCCTCGCTGGCTCTCAACTATGCTGCAGGTCCTCGAAGTATGAAGCTGTCTGTGGTTTTTAGGTGGCATTTTTTCTTCTTGAAAGGCATAGGGCTGTCGTTCTGACCCCAGGCCCCTAGCGTAACGCCCAGCAGGGCTCCCGTGGTGGAGATCACAACGGCAGTAGCCATGCGGCATGCACATTGGTCTGCGGCGCCGGGGGCAGGAGCATCTTGGCTTCGGCCGGTTGAGCTGTTCCTGAGCCATCTGTGCAAAGGCGGTTAGTTTTTGTCAGTCACGATAGCGCGTTCGGTTTCTCAAGGCTGCTTCAGGGGCAGCCACGTGACCTTGGGCTGGAGTTTGATCAGCTCTCACAAGTTAAAGAGGGCCAGGCCTGACCAGTGCTTGGATAAGAGCCCCTCGGGGTACATCTGCGGAGCCCGTGGCAGTGAGCCTCCGAGCCTGTATCGACACACTCGGACTTGCGGAGGCTGCTGCCGCACTCTCAGAATTGCTGGGGAGACGGCACTTGGACGCCGGGGCTCAGACTGGAGCTGGGGTGCTGAAGCCAAGGGGCGGGAGTGGGCATCAGAGCCCACTGCGGCTTCAAAGCGCTGTCTATACAGCTGTGTTTAGAGAGCCACTGCAAACCTGAGTCTCCGTGTTCTGCAAGGAGATGGGATCCAATTCTGGGGGCGGTGCCCCAGTGTGGCACTAGGGGCTCTGAGCTGCTGCTTCTGCACCCTCCTCCAGACAAAACAACACTGGGCTCCCAGTCTGCGTGTGGCTAGTCAGGATCATTTGTTTGGTTGGGTTTGTTCTCAGGCATGGCGTGTCCTAGCCAGATTCAGCCCCCCTCAATCCCCCTCCAAACTGAATACATTGTTGATCTCCACTTCCTGCCCTATGCGGTTGTGCGGTTGTTGCAGGCTGTTAAAAAGCTGCCATCCCGAAAAGAGACTGACGTTCAGTGGTGGGCGAAGTGATTCCGTACACTCAGAGGAAATCGCTTTGGGATCCCTTCGGCTGGGAGCTGCTCTAGAAGTTGCTCTTGTTCTTTGACCTCTTTACTTTCTGTTAGTAATACATGGCTGTGCACTAACCTGTCCCTGCTGTCCCTTCACCATCCCCCAGCAGTGGGGCCAGATTCAGGGTAAATGGCAGGAATTTCAGGTGCCAATGAAACCTTACAGACTGGAGGAGGTGAGAAACCAAGAGTGTAACATTGAAAGAGAGGTACAGTAGAAAGCCGGGGCGTGTAGAACGTGATCTGAGTGGGTACCCTGGAAACTAGCTCAGGAAAGCATAGGCTAAGGCAGAAGGATGAATTAGTGAGGGGCCGGATCATGGCGCCCTTTCTCTCCACGGAGAGCACTTGAGTAGCCCCATGGACTTCAAGGAAGGACTCCACAATCTGGCCCATGGTATTTGTAAAGCTCTTTCAAGATTAAAAAATGCTGTGTGAGTGCGAAGTGTGGTTGTTAATAATGAGAGACGCTTGCTCTGTGAGCGTGGGTGTAACATTGCTGCATCTTCTCAAACAGCCGAGTAGCTGATCTGTGGCTTTCCAGCTCTTCAGAACATGTTCCCATCGACAATGGGGTCCGTAGCCCTGTAAAATAGCATTTATGCTATTGCACTGATGGTTCTTTGAGTCTACACTGGCTGTAGTCATATTCTCACTCGATGCAAATTGATCTCCGCCTTCCCATCGCTGGGCAAAAGTGGCCCATTTGTACTGGTCTTTATAGACAGTATCTCCAGTGAACTGTGCTGAACTGGGCCCTTCTAGCACAGTGTATATCCTGAGATTTAAAAGCTGGGTATGATTTGGGGGATAAAGCAAATGAGCATCTCTCAGAAAAGACCCAGGGGGACTTTCTCATCTCATTGTGCTGAGTAGGCCTCTGTCCTCATAGCTGACTCTGGGATGCTGCTGAGTCTCCCTCCAGCTAAAATCCCACCCGCAGGGAATCTGGGGGTCCCCTCTGACTCCAGAACTAAAATTTGTATGTAGCTTGTGCTATTCCCACCTGCAGTACACACCGATCTGAGCTAATGACCCCAGTCAAGTGCCCCCCAAGTGAGAGAATTCTCAGTTCAGGCTCTGACTCTGCCCTTTCTCGTACCCCGGCACGTACAGAACGGGGTGTACGTAGGGTCATAGAAATGTAGGGCTGAAAGGGATCTTGAGAGGCCATCTAGCCCAGCCCCCTGCACTGAAGCAGGACCAAGTTTACCTAAACCATCCCTGACAGGTGTTTGTTCCACCTGTTCTTATAAACCTCCAATGACAGGGATTCCACAACCTCCCTTGGAAGCCTGTTCCAGAGCTTACCAGTCCCTGTTGGGTTCATTTCAGTGAATGCCATGTGGGGGGTGGGCGGAGTGTCCCACCCTGCAGAGTTAGAACCCCCAGAGCAGTGCCTGGACCCCGCCGTTCAAAAGAAAGCCACGCCGACTCCTCCGCTTTCACTGTCCGAGATGAGTGGAAGGCATTAAGTAAACCAAGGGTGAAATTCCCCCTGTGAAAGATGGGCCTGAACTGGGAGTTACGTGGTGCTTGGGCCTTCAGCTGGGCCTCTGCACCGGGGTGGATTTCGCCCTCTGATTGTAAGCTGCCTGGGGCAGGGACTATCTTTGTGCTCTGTGTTTGTCCAGCACCTAGCACTGTGCGGTCCTGGTCCGTGACTGGGGCTCCTAGGTAGAAATAATAAATGATGATAACCCCGAGAGTATCAATGGTGAGAAGTAGATCCTAATTTTTTAATGCTTCCTCTTTTAACAATCCATCGCCAGAGGGGTTCGCCACAGAGCGGGAAACAGCTTTTAAATTACGCAGCTAGCCCTAGACAATCAGATTGTTCTCTTGCTAGTGTCCCCTTCCCAGTTGCCAGGGGTATGTGTGTTCGTGCGCTGTCCCGATTCCCAGGGCTTCCCTACCAGCATCACTCTCTGCACCGTCTTGTGTGGAGTGTGGGCTTGATCGTCATCCTGACAGTCCTTTCGATTCTCTCTCCAGGGATCATCGACCTATCCCAAGTGCCGCACCTGCCCGTCCTCGTGCCCCCCACACCTGGCACCTCCGCCGCCTCAATGGACCGAATCACGTACATCCCCAGCGCCCCCCAGACATTTAGCAGCCGGCACAGCAGCTCCCCACTCTCCCCAGGTAAAACCCGCGGGGTTTGAATTGCCACCTGATAATCTGCCTGGGTGGGCACATGGACAAACCGAACCCCCGCCTTGTGTGTGTGTGTGTTTGAGGCTTCCCAGGATCTCCCATTGCTCCAGGATTTCAGTAAGGTGAGCCTGGCCTGCTGGTTTGTCCTGCCCCCGGAATTCTTAGTCCCCACGGCTCTTACCACACTGATAGTACTTCCCATCCAAGGATCTTCAGGCGCTTGAGGTGCACAAATTAAACCAAGAGGGGAAGGGAGCTGGTAAACTGAGGCACAGAGAGATGTAATTTGTCCAAGGCCAATCCAGACCCAGGTGTAGAGCACAGCAGAGTCCTGCTCCTACTCTTGTCTGATCACTACCTACCAGTCCCTCTTCCCTGGGCTTAACCCGAGCTGGGGTTAGGGTTGGGGCCAGCAGGGGGCCTGGAGCTGGGGCTAGGGCCAGGGCTGGTGGGGGGCCCCGAGCCGGGGAGCTGATCAGTAGGGTTGTTTCTCTCTTATGGAGGGCTCTGAGGCTGGAAGGACTGTTGTTGTCTGCAGGTGCAGCCGATGATCATTGGCTTGTAACACTGCTAGAACTTGACCTGCTCTGGCAGTTTGGGCCCATCAGCTCTCTGCATTGTTATTTATTCAGCACCTGATGCAGGCTTGCAGCTGGGCGAGACGTCTTCCCCTCCCCCAAAGAGTTCACAACCAAAGCCCAGACCAATGGGAATGTGAGGACAAGAGTTTCCCATGGAAGAACTCCAGTGATTTCCGTGGGGCTGTGGTGGTTGTGGGTTCTGAGGCTAGCTGCCCCTTTGTCCCCCTCCGGGTGCTCTTAGAAAGACCTGCCCCAATCTTGGCCCTCTTGCCTCACCTGTCTCAAGGAGAATCATGTGATCCTTCGGTGGGAGCCGTATGTACCAAGCGGTGCCCTGCAGGCCCGACACCTGCATTTCCTCCCTTTGGGAGTCTGTAACCAGAGATCCCCTGTTGAAGTGTTTTCTTTAGCTCTGGGGAACAAAACATTAGAGAAACAAGGACATAGCGTGCTAGTTCGGATTGCGCTGAGTAGAGAAGAGTCGCCGGGGCTTTGTGAACAGCAGGAGGGGCTAGTTCCCTAGGATCTTGGACGGGATCGTCCTTGGGGTGGCTAGCCCCGCCCACTGCTCGTGACGCCACAGTTGCATTCCCATTTTTAGCACGTTAGCTCAATCAGACCTAGGGCTGGGATGTCTCCCTACCCCAGCTCCTTCCAGCTCTAGTGCAGACATACCCTGAGAGTGTTTACCCCTGTCTCCATCCAGCAGGGCCTACCCAGGAGAATACCCTCACAATGGGCAGGTAGGCCCATTCAGTCTCAGTGGGTTGTAATCGCTGGCCTAGTGGCGCTGTCTCCCCATGGGTGAGGGTGTTGAAACCATCTGATCCCTTTTGTCAGTCGAATGCACTGTCTTAGAAGTCAAGCGCATCTGTCACGTTTTGGGTACAGATCGAAATGTGCAGTCGATACAGATACTCATGCCCCGATGGTTGCCCCGGCGTTACACCGGCGTAAGTGGTATCAGGCCCCGGTCTTTGCTTATCTGCCAGGATCTGGTTTAGGAAGCTCGTGCGGAGATCCTGTAGCTGCAACACTCATGAGAGTGGAGGTTGCACCAGAATTCCGCTCGCAGGGCCCCCTGTCACTGGCTGCCTTTGAATTCCAGGAGGCCCCACGCACATGACCAAACAGACAGGAGCATCGGCGTCCGAACGGGAACGAGATCGGGAGCGCGAGAGGGAGCGTGAGAAATCCTTCCTAGCCGCCACCACTGTGGAGCATGCACCTATCTGGAGACCAGGTAGGCTTGGAGGAACCCGGTCCATACGGCTTGTGGATAGTGATGGTTCCACTGGTGAGCAGAGCCTTTTGGGGGGGGGCTGGGGACAGTTCTGTAAGGTTTATGCAGAGCTCTCTCTTCCTCCCCATCTCGCTGTCACTTGCCCCTTGGTTTTCCATACTGGTTTCCAGCTCAGATTCTTTCTTCATTTTCTTACAGGGACCGAGCAAAGCAGCAGCCGTTCAGCCACTCATTCTCACAGCCACCAGCACTCTCCCGCCTCACCCCGCACCCATGAGACCGTCCAGCAGCGCCCCAGCGTTCTGCACAACACGGGCATGAAGGTCATCTCGTCGGAGAGCCTCACCCCGTCGGTTCTGCGGTGTGTATGGGCTTTGCGGCTCACCGCGCTCCTGCCCTCGGTGGGTGGAGGGCTCTGGGTTGTTAAGGATCTAATCCTGCACCATTGATGGCCACAGGCGTTTTTTGGTCATTGATTTCAATGGGAGCAGGCCTTAGCAGCAGGCCTGTGGTGGGCTGGCTGATTTTGACCGGGGTCTTTTCCTTTTCAAATGGCTTTTGCTGGGAGCTGCTCCCAGGGAGCAAACGGGGGGATGGTCGTGAGCTGTCCGCTCTGGGCCAAATCCAGATGTTCTTACTCAGCCCGTGCTCCAGCCCTTGCCTCAGTGAGAAGTTTTCTTCAGCCTTTTGAAGTAAGGGCTCCAGAATTTAGCCCATTATTTTGGTCACTCCAGCTGGCCAGCCCCTTGTGCAGCAAACAAGCTGTGGAAATGCATATGTCGCTGGTGGGGTTTCCAGCTTGCTCTTCATCCCAACTTCAGCAGGAAGCTAGAAGGGATCTGATTCCTCTTGCTCTCTGGTATTCTGCCACACTCTGCCTGGGCCTTTCTAACCCCAGTGCAGTCTCATGCCTAAGTTATAAATGGGGAATCAACCACACTGGTTAAATGGAACATGGGCAGGGTTCTCTACTCACTTCCGTCACTGCAGATGAGGAGTAACTCTGCTGAAGTCCAAACTGATGTAAATAGGACCAGAGTCAGGCCCCGTTCATTTAGTTTTCCAAGGAAGACACAATGTGACCTTCTCCTGTGTCTGTTTCGCATAGTTTGGCATTGGATCCATTAACCTCCGAGTAACATGCACTGTAGCTAATACCTGAGTAGGGTTACTGGATTTGACAGGAGCAAACAGCCTAGTTCCTGTAGGGGTGGGGAAGCTGCAGTGTCTCTCAGCCCCACGGTCATATTATCTCTGCGTTCTTTTTTGCGTTCAAGATCCTCCACCACCACCACCACATCGCCCATCCGCTCTGCAGGCTTTCCCACGGCATCCGCCCTGCGCTGCTCGCTCGGTGGAGTGGACAGCTATGCAGCCATGATGGACCCTGCTCTCCTACAGAAAGAGGCGTCCAGGGCCCGAGAAGCCAAGGTAGAACGCCCTCAGACTGACAACAACATGTTCACCTCAAAGCTGCCCAGTGGGGCAGGCCTAGAACAGTCATCATCACCTATTAAAGCCATGGAGTCCAGGCCCTTACCAGCCTCCGGGCCAGGTTCTACCCAGCAGTATAGCAGAGGACAGGGGAAAAACCAGCACCATCATCCACCCCTGGATCAGCAGCACGCAGTCTCGGTCAATGAGCAGCACAGTAGAGAAAAGAATCAAAGTAAATCCTTTTCAATGCAGGAACAGGAGCTCCGAGCACTCGGTAAGACCACCATGACAGCGGCCAGCTTCATAGATGTGATTATCATGCGTCAAATTTCTTGCGATAAGGGGAAGCGAGAAAGACGCTCGCTAAATAACGACTCCACTAGTGATGGTAAGAAATTGGAGGGGCGGGTGCCAGTCCAAGTTTGTGGCCTAAAACCAATTTGTTTATTTATTTTATTTTTTGAATTGCACGTTTTGGTGGTTGGCTTCTTCCACTTCCTGAGTTTTTTGGAATCATTTATGTTATTCTAGTCTTTTATTTTTGTTATTTGTTTTAAAAATCCTTCCTCCACCCCACCCCACCCCCTTTTTTTTTAATTTTCCTTTGCTGATTCTTGCTTTGCAGCTCTAGTTCATTTCCTGGTATTTATTTATTTATTTTAAATTCTTGATTTCACTGTAATTAGCAATTCACATGTGGCCTACGTTAAAGAATCATGGGTAATAACTTAAACAGCAAGGGGTCTGGGGGGAGGGGGAGGGAATGTCTGATTCTAACAGGACAGCCACGTCAGACAAGAACAATGTCCCACGTTTGCACAATGCCTTTCAATTTGATAGATCCCAAAGCAATGTATCAATTTGTCTATCAAATGATATATCAGTGCTTAGATGCCATGGTGACAGACACTATATAAGACATAAATATAGATGGTATACTGTACACGGGGATCGTGTAGCTGCCATTGGAATGCAGCCACTTCTGGAGTGAAACACAGCAGCTGCTTAACCCAGCACAACAGCTTAAGGCACAAAATGAAGTAGAATATGTTTATCTGGGTGAAACTGCTGTTGGGGGGGGGAGGTGGATCTACGTTCATGCCCATCTCTATAGGGACACCTACGGGGACAGCTGCACTTTGGTCCAGAGCAGACCCCTGGGTTCCATTTAGATATTTAGTTAATAGCAAGCACCGTGTAATGCTTAGCGCACAGGGGTCCTGTAAGCATGTCACAGTGTTCTCTCTGTGAATCTCTCCTGCACGTCTGCCCTGGATCCCAGCGTTGCACTCCCATGCATGTAAACCTTAGTGCACAGTGTGCACCAGACAATCCATGGGAATAATTGGAGAGGAGAATTTTTTTCTGACTCTATTCTCTGAATCTTCCCCTCTTTGCTCTTCAAGATCTTACTAATAAGCAGTGATACTTATCATTGGGCTCTTCCAGCCAGCTGCCGAGAATGCTCTGCTAGCTATGAACACACACTCACCTTTGGCTTTAGTGGCGCGTTTTTTTCCTGACGCTAGTAAAACACATTAAAGCATTTCTGCAAATACATCCGAACAAGTAGATCATCGGGAAGTGATGCAGCAGCAGGATTTCCTCTGAGCCCATCCAGAGAGCTGGGAGTTGCAACGTTCCACCTTACAGTGGCTAGAAATCCTGCTCGGTCAATAGGAAGGATGAGGTGTCCCAGCCTCGAGATCTCAGCAAGGGGTGCTACAGTAAAAGAGTTTCCCCTTTTATTGGAGCCAAGGCTATGTTGTGCTGCTGTGTTTGACCGTCCCAAACTAGAGAGGGGCTGTGTTCCAATGACCCGTAGGCCAGAGCTTGGGACACAGTATCCCGAAAGCCTTGGAACAAGAATTAGCTGTATATTACCTTGTTAAGTCTTTTCTATTGATTCCCTCCCACCCAAGCTCTCTGATCCGTGCCTGGCCATTAGTACATCTACTTCTCTTCCTCCTCCAGATGCGCGTAAACACAAACCGCTCCAAGCTACTCTGATTTCTGGGGTTCACAATATTACACACACTCCGACTCCCCCAGTGCTGGCAGAGCAAGCTGGTCTGCTTCCTACCCCCGGCTCCAGCCATCAGTCAGATCAGAGTATGACCAGCCAGCCCTGATCAGGGATATCAGCACCAGCAATGTCCTGTCAATAGAGACAAGCCTTTCAGAGTGGGGTGGAGACCCAGTGGTACTAGGGTTTGGCTCTTCAGCCAAGACTCACTAGAACGTGACTGGAGGGAGTGGGGAACTCACGCTAAGAAGCAATGAATCCGCATGAGATGACCCAGTCAAGGAGGGAGTGAGCAGAACGACCCTTTAATAAAAGGCATGTACGTGTGTGGGAATGGCCCATCTCCCACTCGTCCCACCTCTCTTCCAGTGACTTCACATGAGTCCATTGATATCCGCTGGGTTCAGTGAGTGAGCCCAGCTTGGCATGGTCCCTACCTGGGCCAGGATGGGGCGAGCAGGCTGGTCTGGGCATGAGTTCAGCATAGGTAACCAGCTGTGACTGGCTCCCAGAGAGAATGCGCTGGTGACAAGGAAGCCCTTGGTGGAATACACATGGGTCTCGCAGAGCCAGGAGGGAACAGTGTGATTTGTCTCCATTGATAACTCCTGGTAACTTGGCTTTAGGAAGTTAAAGGCATATCAAGAAGTGCGTGAAATTCCTTAGCCAGAGAGGCAGTGTTTCCAGAGGGCAGGGCGCAAGGTTGGGACTCAGGACACCTTAGTCCTCTTCCTGGCTCTGCTCTCGATCTGTCCTGTGATCTTGTGGAAGTCACGCCACCTCTCTGCGTCTCTATCCCCCTGCCTGTAAGACAGGGATAATGATGATGCAGTGTTGCCGACTCTCAGGGTTTTATCACGTTTCATTTTACACTCCAGCTCCTGGAGAATCTCAACTTTCATTTAAAAAAAAAAAAAAGTGAGTTTCTCACCCTATAGTAGCAGATAAAAGCTTGAAAATGTGACCTGCGTGCACCTCAAAGGCTCAGAAACCCGAAGGAAAATAATAAAAACCCAACCGTTATTAGTATTTTTGTTTAATCTCGTGGCTTCAATCTCTCAGTTTTGGGGTGGCCTGTCTCACAATTTTTGACCGGTTGAGGTTGGTAGTGGTGTGATACTGGCTTTCCTTTGAGATCTACCAGGGAAAATGCCACCTAGAATAGTTAAAACCCAACACCCTACCACAACAATCATTTACTTTTCACTGTGTATGTGGCTTTTATCTGTTTGTTTGCGTTTCCCTGGTGTGGGAGGTGTGAATCCAGGCCGGTCAGGTTCACTGCCTTGAGCTGTTGTGTTTGGGTTTACAGCTCTGCAGGAAAATGTGATGTTGTTTTCTTCATTGTAATTGAAAAGCAAAAAATGTGGCTGTCTGTGTCTCTCTGTGTGTTTCCTTGCTGATTGTCAGCTGGTGGTTCTTATGATACTGATACTGTTCGATGCACCTGTTGCTATATCTACACTGCACGTGAAGGTGTCATGATAGCACGGGTAGGCACCCCCACTCTAGCTTTAATCTGTCTAGCACAGGTAACTGAGCATAGATGCAGTGATACGGGCTTCAGCGTGGGCTAGCCACCCAAATATAAACCTACTGGGGACCCTGGGGATGTTCTTGGGCAGCCAGCCTGTACTGGGGTCCATGCCACTGCAACTTCATTGCTTTTATTACCCATGGTAGCTAGATTAAAGCTAGCAGAGTATGCATGCCCAAGCTACAGTCGCCCTTATTGCCCCCTGGCATACTAAGAAGGGCTGTAGAAGCTGCATCGAGGCGGGTATGTCCTGCAGCTTTAGATGCAAGGTCTCTGGTTATTTCTGTCACTTCTTTGCTGATGCTGAAGATCTCAGTGCAGCAGCGGTCGCAGGACAGGTAGGGTTAATCGCAACGAAGGAAACTCACAATATAAAGACCCTTGCTTCCATTTCCCCAGGGTTCCACGGAGGCTACAGCCCTGATGGCGTTGAAGCAGTAAGCCCGGCGAGCTCACCCAGCGTCTCCCACGAGAAAGGGGCAAAGGTGCTGCCGGATGTGGAGAAAGGGCACGGGGAGCACAACGTGAGACAAAAACAGCAAGGTGAGGGGCTGCTGCCGCCTGAGCCGGCCGAGGCAGATCTGACATGGCAGGAGGCCTCCTGTACTGCTGACGTTCCAGCCCACAGCCCAGTCGAAGGCTGCCAGGCAAAATATGTGAGGCTCTGTCCCCTTCCCCTTTGTGGGTGAGGAATTTCCCTCTTCCCCCGCATAGTGGGCTGTGTCCGCACCAACCTGCGTTCCCTGAAATCTCCCCCTGGGACTACGCTTGTCTTAGCGGTGGGCAGATTCAGGGAACCGAGGCTGGTGGTGGCAAGATGAATGGAGGGACCCATCAGGAAGCTTCTGCCTTGCAAAGATCCGTCCGTGTCCTTGAGAAGGAGGTTGGCCTTGCCACTGACACTCTGGATGGGGGCTCAGGAGATCTGGGTTCAGTTCCTGGCTCCGCCATGGGCTTCCCCTGAGACCTTGGCTGGGTCACTCTCTCGTCCCGTCCCCGTCCCCCCCCTTCCTCTGCCCTCTCCATTTAGACGGTGAGCTCTTCAGGGCAGGGACTCTCGTTCACACGGCGTGTGTACAAGCACCTAGGACAAGGGGGCCCTGATTGGGCCTCTGAGCGCTACCCAGTGTGAGCAATAACGCTGCCAGGCTGGCGCCAGTGCGTGGTGACAGGCAAGAGCTGAAGGCAGGGAGCAGGGAATGGGCGTTGGCTGGCCGTGCTGCAGGGAAGTGTTCATTCCCTTCTGGGCTGGGGTGAGGCGCACAGACGACAGGCTGAGAGGGAGGAGGAAATGTGCGGGGAGGCAGGAGAAGCTTAGAAGGAGGGTGGGATGTGTTGGTAGCCGAGGGCCCATCGATCTCCGTTTGCAACTGGCTGGGCGTGTTTTGCTGGAGCTGCCACCAGCGTTTGAAGAATAACCTTAGCGCGCCGTGGGCTTATCAGCCTCCCATTGGCAGTTCCTGACAGCAGACTGGTACAGGGAACTGCGGCTCTGCCAAGGAATGTCTCGTTAGTATATTAGCTAACGGCGGCTGCTTTACATGCCTGGGGGATAGCGCTTTTCATGGGAGCTTTCCAGAGCACTCCATAAATATTAATTAATTACCCGGGAGCACCTCAGTGCCCCGCCTGATTAATAAATATTATCAGCCCCATTTTAAAGATGGGGAAACAGAGGCACAGAGAGCTTAAGTGACTTATCCAGAGTTGCACAGCTAGTCACTGGCAGAGTGGGGGATAGAGCCCAGGTCTCCTGACTCCCAGTTCCTTGTGTAACCCCTAAACCAAATTCCCTGGAGCGGCATCTCTGGCTTCTTTCATAACAAGTAAGTAGCATAGTTTAAAAAAACAGTTTGATTGACGAGCGGAAGGGCAGAACAGAGGGTCTGTGCTGGGCAGGCGGAGGCGCTGTGTGATTGCCCTGGGTTGTCATGACTGGTTCTTTCCTTTCACAGCCTCCCTGAAGCTCTCTGCAGCAGAAGCAGCTCACATGCAGCACCTGCGCCAGTTGCCCGAAGGCCAGCAATCCCCATGCCAGCTGCTGCAGTCGTCCCAGAACATCAAAGGCCACCAGCAGCGGGTGGTCACGCTGGCTCAGCACATCAGCGTAATCAGCCTCTCTCTCCTCTTCCCGTCCAGGGGTTGTTCTGGGGCGTCTCCGTCAGCGGAGAATGGGCCAGGAGTGGAGTCAGGAGCCTTGGTGGCAGACCCGGGGGGTGGTGGTAGCAGCAGGTCACCTCGCTCTGCGGCAACCCCTCTGGCCTTTTGCTTTTGGAGGCAGCAGAGTGCTGCAGAGAAGCCCAGGGGAGAAGGGTGCTTTCCGTCCTCCTGCCTATAAGGACCAGCCAACAAAACTAGGAGGGGAGAAATAACTAGGGCTCAGCGCCAGAGCGTGCCCTCCCATCCCTGCCACATAAACTACAGGCCAGTGAAAGGTCGCAGACAGAAGTGCTGACTCAAGGCGTTGCTTCTTCTAGGAGGTTATCACACAAGACTACACGCGCCATCATCCTCAGCAGCTCAACTCCCACCTCCAGACCCCGGTGTACTCCTTCCCTGGGGCCATGTGTCCCGTGCTGGACCTGCGAAGGACGCCCAGTGAGGCTTACATCCAGCCGCAGGAGCATGCTCCGGCCTCCAGAATCTCCCCGCAGAGCGAGGGAGACAAGAGGTGAGCTCAGCATCAGATCGGGACCGCTATGAGCTATGGCTCATGCTCACTCTCTTCAGCGGTCTCTGCACCAGGGGGAAAGGGAGCGTTCGGAACACGTGGGAACGAACACAGGCAAACTTCCCGGTGGAGACAGGGCACGTTGTAGTTTTAACGCGGCTTAGCTGGTCACCGGGAGTTCCAGGCACCCCCGGTAGGGTTCACATCGACCGGCTAATGCAGCTTGCCCCGGCCACGCAGAGATTTTAACGTGGTCGTGATCATGCTTTTAAAACACGCAAACAACCGAGCCCTAATCCTGAGCTTTCTCCAGAGCCTGGCTGTTCTTAGGACAGTTCCCTGCAGGACCCGTCTCTCCCTGCACCTAGTTCCCTCTGCCCCAGAGACACTCTCCGCTCTCCCAGATAGCCCAGACTAGGGCTAAGTGGACTCACCTGCCAGCATGAGCAGCCAGAAATAGCAACTTTCTTATGCAGGGGTCTAGCTCTGGATATTAGGGTAACGCGGGAGCAGAGCCCTGCATTTCCTCTGCAGGGTGCTAGAATCTGCCCCCTGTTGGTTGCAAGAGGAAACAACGTGCTCAGTACTAAAAATAAAACCAAGGAGAAAATAACAACAACAAAACCCCTAGAGAAAGTTCCTGACGGCTCCTGCTCATCTTTGTCCCTGGTGATTGGTGGAGTTTTGAGCCCTTGTACTTGCCAGCTAGCCATATTAGTGCTTTCGGAGGGTGCAGGAATGTCCTCTGTGCTCCTAGAGACTGTCACAATGTGTTAACACTGCAGCAAGAGAACACGAACTCTCTGGACTCTGCAGGTCCATACCTTCGAAGGGTTAATTCTCCGTAATGTCAATAGAGGAGTTTAGATGAGGCCCCGCTCGCTGCAAATGCAGGACATCGCCCCGGGTAGAGGATGTACTGATAGGACACTTGATCTGAGCCACAAAGTCCCAGGGTTAGTTCCTCTGTTTTTGCAGTGTAACTATATTAGGGCCAATTGCAGGATTACATACGAGTTGGCTACAGCTTTGAGACCTGTCTAAATTTAATCCTTACGATATAGGTGTGTAGTTCAGAAACACACAAAGCGACAAAAACGTGCAACTTAAGGGTAACATTAAGGGCTTGGGTGGTTGGTTTCCCCCTTCTCCATGACACTCCAGTTTGCAGAAGGGTTTTAATCCCTCTGTGCAGCGGTTAAGAGCATTGTAATGAATAACAGCGTCTCACTATACCATCCTCAGATCTCCTGAGCAGAGCAAAGCGTCTGTGGGGAGTGCACCAGATGACTGCATCGAGCCTGTCTCGCCACCAGACGGCATGGGAGAGCCGGAGCACACAAGGAGCACCTCGTACCCAATCTTGTACCGAGAGGGAGAACAGTCAGAGCAGAGGTAACCACAGGAGATGGGGAATGTGGACTCTTCCTGCCTGGCCGGGGGTTACAGCACAAAAGCAATACTCTGGGGTCTTCCTTCCCCTGAGCGTTCTACTCTGAGCGCTTTGGGGGCAGAGCTGGGGCACAGACCTTTACCCTCCAATGGTAACCTGTTGTCACTCTATGCTGCCTGCCCTTGAGCGCTCTGGGTCCGGCCTGGAGTGGCTGCCTGAGCTGACTGCCAGCTTTCTTCATTTATATTGCTGCTGGGGTTGGATATGCCACCAAAGAACAGGGGTGACGGATTAACTCGCTTTGCAACCTCTTCCCGAAGTCCTCCCCTCTGACTGCCAGCGCCCGGGAGCAGCGCTTTGCGTCCCATCTGTGGCTGTCCAAGCATAGTTCGTTAACTCTCCCAACCCCTCTGCGCAAAGTATTTGACCCCTGCTGCAGGGTGGTAGACGCAGGGCCGGCTCTGGCTTTTTTGCTGCCTCAGGCAAAAAAGCCTCCCGCCGCCCACCCCCCCCATCTCCCGGCGGGGAGCGCGGCAGGGGAGGGCGCCGAGCCCGGCCGCGGCCCCGCTCTCCCCGACCGGCCGGAGCGCCGGGGAGGGCGCCGAGCCCGCCGCGGCTCCGCTCTCCCTGGCGGCAGGAGCGCCGGGGGGAGGGCGGCGAGCCCCCCACGGGCCCCACTCTCCCTGGCCGGCTGGAGCGCCGCGGGGAGGGCGGCGAGCCCAGTCGCGGCCCCGCTCTCGGGCCTGAGCGCCGCCCCCCTCCAGGTGCCGCCCCAAGCACATGCCTGGTAGGCTGGTGCCTGGAGCCGGCCCTGGGTAGACGGCGGCTGAGTGACTTTCCCCAAGGTCACATGCAGAGGCAGTGTCAGGAGTGGAACCCAGGTGTCCTGACTCCTTCCAATTTTTTCCTGCAGCTCAGGGCCAGCCTGTCCTGGCAGCTCAGAGATCCCCTGCCCTAGTCCTCAGTCTCTCCCAAGGTGCCTTACCAGGTAATCTTTCTGCTCCGGTGATTGGCTGAGCAGAAAGAATTCACTTCCAGGGTAGGGGATTTCGGGGCCCAGAGGAGAATTTTGTTGGGGCCCGTGACTCTAGGGTAAGAAGAACTAGGCCAGAAGTGTTTCTCTTCCAGCCAAGAGACGTTTTATGGTCTGGACCTCCTGGGGGAATAAGCCACACTGTATTTAGGGGCCTTTGATCAGTCTCAAATTGAAGACAACCTGACTCCTAAGTCTAAGCTAGAAAGCCCCCAATATCTGGATGGCCTGAGGGCTGGTTCAAAGCATCGGGTGGCTAATGGGATAGGGGCTCTATAGACAGAAGGGCGTAGAGTGGGCCCTCTGCAGCCATTGCTGATCGCCTTTTGCTTCACAGAATGGGTTCCAAATCCCCAGGAAACAACACCCAGCCCCCAGCCTTCTTCAGCAAACTGACCGAGAGCAACTCCGCCATGGTGAAATCCAAGAAGCAGGAGATCATCAAAAAGCTCGGCACGACCAACAGGAGCGAAACGGAGTACAGTAAGGCTTCCAGGCTGGGGCTTTCACGCAGCAGCCGCCGGAGGGAGCGGGGTGGGATGAAGACTCCTTGCAAAACCAAAGGGAGAGGGAATTCCAAAGTAGCCTTCTTTCTGACATGATTTAAAGGGACAGGAGCCCACCTCCCAGACTTGAGCAGTCTGAAGCCAGTTTCGTCTGGGGATGAGAATTTGCTGCCCCATGCTCTTATCCTATCCATGCAGTTGCGTATTGTTAAATACAGATGCGTAAGCACATCCTGTGCCTCTCCTGCATACAAGTACCGTGCCTGTGTGTGGCCGGGCGTGTTGGGAACCGTCTTAGTTCAGTGTCTTCCCACTGCACAGATCTGTCAGAGAGAGGAATGGGGCGGGGAGTTCTGCTGATGGGGAAAAGAGATAGAAAGGCAGGTGACTTGGGGGCCTTAAGGATGGGTCATGGCCCTGTATTGTGATGGCCATTTATGTCAGATATACCCCTCTGCCACTGCAAGCCGCATTGGTAGTGCCGGCAGCTAGCCGGGCTCTATGAGGTGCCTCTCAGAAGCCTGTCCTTTCTCTGGGGCTGTCAGTCCAGCACCACTCACCGGCACTGAACGACCTCAATAGGAACTAACTAACAAGTGGAGATTAGAGGAGTCTTAAGAGCTATTGACGTTTTTAATGACTGTCCAGCCAGCCTGAATTCTGCCTCCTGAAGATGTATCTGTCAGACCCGACATCAATATTGGTACAGCTCTGAAAAAACACCCAGCCTGACTTGTAGTCGAAATTCATCCCATTCCTTCATTAGCCGCTAATAGAGTAGATAGGATCATAATTTAATTTAGCTCAGCATTATACAGTCAATACTAATTCAATTTGAATCCATCGTGTAACAGCTGCGTTGGATAAGAAGGACCAAGCTGTCTCGTCCTGTGTATGTTGTTACCATAATCCAACCACGTTGTTAGGTTCCTTGGGGGATGCATGGTTGACCTCCCACTCGTTTCTTTATCGGGGAGAAATATACAGAAATAGGAAACGCCTTGTGTTTAATGAGAACTGCTGTTATTCTAAGGAAAGCGATACCCAAGTCAAATAGCTCAGCTAAGAGGGAAAATATTGACTTAGTATTTCCCCCTCGCTGAATGCATGAACAAAAACTCCTCTTTGGGAATAGGGGATTGAGCCTTTGGAAACGCCTCGAGAAAGCTCTGGGTTTTGTACCCCTGCTTAACCTCCCAGAGGGCAGGATCTTGGGGTGGAGGGAGACAGGAGTGCACTTGTGGACATCAACATGACTCTCTGGAGCTGTGCTGCATTAATGCCAGTAGGTTTAGACCTGTACCCGTGGTTCTCTGTTGCCATCTCTGGTCCACTTGGTGAGAGCAGCGTTCTCCCATGCATCCAACTTCCCAAACCGCCACTCCTTGCCTGTCAGGCCACCTGGAAGGGCTTTACAGGCCACTGATGATCCATGGGCCATACTTGGAGAACCTCTGATGTTGATTGGCATGGCCAGGGCTTGCTCATTATCTTGGAGTTGTGTGTCTGGGGGTAGCGTTGCTTTAAAAACAGAGATAATACTTCCTAGTCCCAAACCATCATTCCTTGCCCCACCCACCCACAACTTGAACTTGGCCTGGGATTTTGTCAGTGTGGGTAATGTAATGTAGGTGCCAGGACTCAAACTGCATGTCCCATGATCCTCTGGGGTTGAGGAAGTGTTAGGAAGGAAAAGCTCCCCTAGGAGTTAACCGTTGTGCGCTGCAGTTCATACTGAGGGACTTCTTTGTCTTCCTCCAGATGTTGGACAGCCTGGGACAGAGATTTTCAACATGCCAGCAATTACTGGAGCAGGTAACAGTCCCGATAGATCTTTATCGTATGTCATACTCTGCCACACGCCACACAGAATTCACAGCCTGAGAAGAGGAGGTTCAGCGGGTTCCGGTGTCGTTTATTGAAATAAGATACAGTATATTCCTGGTGGGAAAGATTGGAGGCGGGAGAATATGTGCCTACGGCCCTTCCCTGCTTTGGAAGCTGCTCTGTTGGGCTGCAGGCTACAAAGGCCTAGTCCTTTTAAAGCCTCCAGGTTGTCAGAATTTGAGGAGACATAAAAACTTAGATCCGGCAGGGCTTTGGCCTGGGATCTGTTGGATTGGGAAGAAACCATGTGACGCCAGCAGGGAGGATGCTGTAGGGAAGCAGTATCTTTAAATGGACTCTTACTGGCAGAGGGCCGGCAGCATAAGGGACAGACTCTGCCGCCGTGAAGAGGTGTGAGGTGACAGAGCCAGTGTTCATGTAGGAGCATGAGCTGGCAAACGGGAAGGCTGGAGCTAGAATCAGAGGGAGAGGGAACAGTACGCTTTAGCTCAACCACACGTGATGGGCTGGATGCAGGGATCAGTGGGTGAGGTTCTCTGGCATGTGCTAGGCGGGAGGTCAGACTAGATGATCATGCTGGTCCCATCTGGTGTTGGCAGCAGAATTCAGGTCCTTGAACGGTGCTACAATCCCAGCCCAAAACTCGGGAGAGGCTGCCCACCGTTCCCAGCAGACTTCTTGTTTGATTTTCCCAGATGTGTGTCTTGCTGAAAGCAGAAAGTCCCCACGTGTCTAAACCATTGAGTGGCTGGTTGGGCGGGGTGATGTCCCAGGTTTTATCCAGGGGACACTACATCAGGCACACTGATTTGTTAATACTTGCTGAAGGGACACATGCCGGACAAAGCAATGACCATCTGAGCCCAGAGGGTGGGGGAGAGAGAGAGAAGACAGGCTCAGATGTTGGTTCCTATATGTACAAAAAAACATTACTCTGAAACTAAGGAGCCTTCAGGCTTAAAGCCTAGATCAGTAACAATATCAGCTGCATATGCTTTGCCAAGTTAATACTTGGTTAGGCCTGGCATTTTGCAAGGCGCTGTACGCTCCACAAAAGTAAAGACCGTCCGTGTTCTGAAGAGCTTCCTGTCTAAACGACAGGCACAAGGACAGTGCAGTGCCCCAAGAACTCCAGGACTGAGACCTGATGGGGAAAGGGGAATGGCTGCGGATAGTCTTAAATGAAGGGAGAATGGCAACTCAGCAGAGCAGGACCAGAAGGTCACGCCACACGCTGCGGGGGCATTGTGGTTCTGCAGAGCATGGCACACAGTTCCGCCGTTGAGAGCCGAGCCTGCCCGGGGGATGAGGAGTGAGTGGGGCTGGCCAGGTTCAGAGGAGGACAACAGTGCATCCACCCAGGTGGGCCAGCAGAAATTTCCCTGTGGGTTGCTGTCATGGGAACAGAGGTCCCACCTTGTTACTGAGAGGGGACAGCCTTGGCTTTTTAGAGGCAGTAGTCACCTTTGCCTCCAGGAGCTCTATTTGGGAAAGAAGAGCGTAGGAATCACCGCAGGCCCAGAGCCCTAAAGTTCTACCTGCCCCACAGGCGTTTGCCGTTGAGTGACAGTGAGCTCCTGTGCGAAAAAGACCTTTGCTCCCTTCCTGCAGGACAGTGGTTCTGGAAGTGGAGGGACCGTACTTCCATACGGGAGCGCACTGCAGGGCTCCAAAGAGCCGAGTCCATGACTCCTAGCTCTGCGTGTCTCTCTCTCTCTGTGTCTCCAAGCTCTTCAGCATTAAAGGAGACATTCAAGCTGCCAGGAGCTGCTGCTCCTCCCCACTCCAGCACCACACGAGGAGTCAAGGCCGGTGCCAGTGTCCCTGTTACACTGCATAGCAACAGGGGAGCCCAGCAGCCCTGGACAGTGAGGCCTCTTCCTTCCCCACTGAGAGAAAAACCAGCTCCAGGGGGTTCCCAGAATCCTCCCCCTGCAGCTGAGGGGAATCTGCTTCTCAAATGATGGCCTGTCTTTCCTCAGGCCGCCCCTGGGGGCGCAGGCTCCGGTTTCATTTGCAGCCCCTGAGCTGCTTCTGTAACAGGCTTGCCCTTCCCAGCTCAGATGTGTGTCTTTTCAGATGTCAGAGGCTACTGGAGCAGGGCTGCTCTCCACCCTTCATCTCCAGAGGCTTCTTTTTCCACACAGTGTATAAATAACCTGTGGAAAACGCTGCAGGATTTTATCGAGGCCCCGCGGAGAGCATTTCCAAAAGGGATTAGGCATTGATAGGGTCGAGAACAGCACCGGAGTTACAGGGACTGGAATAGGACTGGGAGCAGCAGTCAGGGCTTGTCCCAGCTCTGCCACTGGCTTGCTGGGTGACCTTGGCAAGTCGCTTCACCTCACAGGGCCTCCGTTTCCCCTTCTGTGCAATGGGTACAGCAGGGCCTGCTTCCCAAGGGAGTTGGGGGGGGCTTCCTTCTTAGCTGGAGTGCACTCTGCGCCCCTCAGCTGAAGTGCGCTGTATACATATGCAGCACTATGTAGCACGCTTCATGAGTCAGACAGACCGAGCTAGCGTATCCTGTTCGTTTGCTTTCTGTATCAAACCAAAACCTACAGCCCTCCTAGCGGAGTCCCCTCTCTAAGAACATGAACTTCAGTGGCTTTACGCCGGGACTGGTCTTTTTGCAGAATGCCTAGAAATGGTTAAACTTCCCAGGGACCTGCACTGTCCCCAGACCCCACCGTTCGGTCGAAAGGCCGGCATCGGCCATGGGTTCTCCCCCCACCCCGCTCTATGCTGGGGAGCTAGGCCCATGCCCACTGGGCGTTCCCACCTTTTTTTGTTTGATCCAAGAGCTCCGTAAGCCCCGAGTTTCTGTGGTATCTGCATGGCAGAGGCTGCTGGCAATGGTGTTATCTGCCTTAGAAAAGCTTCCCAGTAAGCGTTAGTATTGGGGGAGGGAGGCGGTGACCAAAGAGCCAGTTTTTGACCCTGCACAGTGGTTAAGCTGACTCACGCCGGCAGCCGAACCAGGTGGATCCCTTTAGCTGTGAGCTAGGCGCATTGGGGGCAGGGGGTTGCGTGTCCTTGTCTGTGTCAGCGGGAGCTCGGGTGTGAGCTGGGAAGTGTTGCAGGGAAAAGCCTGTGGTTAAGGGTTGTTCTGCGGGGCTGAGCGAAGGAGAAGGGCAAACCCTCGGGAGTGTTTGGGACACTAGCCCAGAGTGTGTGTGCTGGGAGCTGGGCGGGGATGCTGCCCATTCGCAGGGGGAGTGCACGCTCCCCTGCATCAGATACAAGGAGGGGGCACCATGGCTGCAGCATTCCTATTGAGAGAGGAGAATTGCTCTGCGGGCAGGAGAGGGGGCTGCAGGCACCAAAGTGGGGATTAAGGAAACACGGCATTTTATTTTCTTGCCTGTATTTTGACTCTGTAAGTTTTGCCCTTGCTCGTTTCCTGTAACCGACGCATTGGGAATGATGGTCCCATGGCTGAGCGAGTGCCCTACGGTCCCTGTGCGGCGCTGCACCATAACTGCATGGCTTCTGATGACTCACAAGCACTCAGACACATCACTGCGTTTTCTGCATCCTGTTTCCTAATGACATTTGACCTGTAGATGTGGGGGTCTGGGCCCCGTGGGCGGTGGAGTCCGGACTACAGATGGTGCAGGGGGCTGGGAAGGAATTAATCAGCACGGGGAAGCATTCTCTCCTCTTGGCCTTCCCCCCCACCAGACCCAGTAGAGAACAACTCCACAGGAGAGCTAGGGCAATTCCCCGGCAGGTCGTTGCTGGGCCGTGTGCCCACGAGGCACTGCCAAGCTCAGGATCCATGCCCTGCAGCCTGTCACTCCTCAGCTATTGAGGCATCGGGGTCTCCATTGAAATTTTTTTTTTTTAAATCACTCCCATCCCCAGATTCTTCCTCACTCAGCAAGTTGTTTTCTAACTCCCCACCCCCCCAGCTCCCGCCAAGCCCTGGGGCGGGGCGGGGGGACGGAGTGCACTGCAGAGCTTAAAAACAATATGACAAATTTTGTTGCTTTGCAAGAATGTGCTGACTGTTTGTTTCTTCCCTTCTCCCTTGTCTCCTTTCTCCCCCCCCCCCCTTTCTTCTTATTTGGTTTCCCCCCAACCCATCTCCCACCCCTCACCTCTCCTTCCCCTTTCCGTATCTCCCAGGGCTAATCAGTTGTAGAAGCCAGTCGGTTCAAGAAAATTCCAGTACCAACATGGGGTTGGAGGCAATAATTAGGAAGGCCCTAATGGGTAAATATGACGAGCAGTGGGAAGAGCGCTCGCCTCTCAGTGCCAATGCCAATGCTTTTAACTCTCTGAATGCCAGTGCAAGCGTGCCCGCTGCTATGCCCATAACCGCTGCTGACGGACGGAATGACGACATGCGCTCCTTGCCAGGTCTGCAGCCCTTTCCACCTTCGCCATTTCTCAGTGTTGTTCATTCTTTTTTTTTTTTTATCCTCTTTGTTTTGTGTTTTCCCTTCGAGCTTTGTGAATTTGCTGATTAATCCTGAAATCTTTTACGTTCATGTCGTAGCCTGAAAGGGGCTGTTGCTTTTTCTCTAAAACACTGACCGGGCTCTTTTCCTTGTTTAATCTCCTTTTCTTCTTATGATGTCAAGGTTTATTTAAAAAAAAAGACCCTGCACGGAAAGACACTGCAGAGAAATGTGCATTTCAAACAAATCCCAAGCCCGAGCGAGGATCCTGATTCAGCAAGGCCTTTAAGCCTCCCTGCTGAGCAAAGCATTTAAATTTGCTTAAGGCGTCCTCTGCTTCAGTTAAAGCACTTGATTGAAATCAAGTCCTTGAATGCTTTGCTGAATCAGGGCCTGAGATTGTATGGCCCCAAAAGAGATACTCACCCAGTGAGAAATCCATGCTCCTCTCGGTAGATATGTGCCCCCTGAATAAAAATAGTGCTTTAAAACACACACACCCCAGTGCGGGAATCAGGGAAGGGACGTTTGGGGCACTGGAGGTAGAGAAGCACAAAGTTTTCCATTCCCCTCCAGCCCAGGTGTCCCTAGCTCCGGGGACAGGGCTGTGTGATCCCCGCAGTGCCAGGGGAAATGACCTCATTCGGATGACAGAAGGGCTCGTGGTTAACCTCCCATGTACCCGCCAGGGGGAGTCTTCACCTGCCCTCGGCTGGGTTGATGGTTAACCACAGTTGTAGATCGGCTCCAGGCATTTCTTTAGCTGTCAGTGTTGCCTGCCCACCATTCAGCCCCTGCGAAGGCCTGGCGCTGGATCTGTCGCTCTGCTCTGGAAGACAGCCTGGCTCGCTGGTGGAGCGGTGCGAATGGCAATCCCCAAAACAGCCATGGCTGGGGAGAGATGCCGTGTCAGGGGACAACAGAGGGAGGCATTTGGAATGGGAGGGAAGCCTCAAGGCAGCTGAGAATGGTGGGATAAGGCAGAACCCTCGGAAATCCGGAGTGGGGAGCATCCCTGCTGAGGCCAGAAGACATAGACCCACTGCTCCTCCCGCCCCATGCCACGAATCGGGCATCCCAGGATGTGAGAACATGGCTTGCAAGCCTGTGCAGCAGGTGAAATGCAAGGAATTGCCCCTGGCTTCAGGGTTGGGCCATTGTACAGCTCTGGCAACGGCCATTCCCACGAATCTCCCCATGCCACTAGGGGACACGGAGGAGGGTAGAATCAGAAATGTGGGCAGGGAGTGGGCAGCCCGTCATTCCCCCAAATACCAATTGATTTGCCATCCACATGGGTCAACATGATGCTCTAGTTCCAGAAGCATTGAGTTACACCTCGTCCCTGGCTAGGCAGGGACGGAGAACAGGGAGCTGTGCTGCTTATCCTTCACTGGCATTGTCCCCACTGGGAATTCACCAGAACAGAGCTCTTCAGGCAGAGCCATGCAGAGGTTTTGAGAGCCTGGGACAAAATCTGAAAGTGAGGCCCCTACCCTTCCAAAAGCCATTACCATGGAGTAAAAGGGAACTCAGGGGCGGGGGGGTTGGAGAGCGAGCTCACCCCACAGCAGCAACTCCCATCCTGCAGGGCTGGGCCCAGCTCCGGGCGTTGCGGCCTGGTGCATGAGGTCACAGCACCACTCAGGTTTGGCCTGACTGTCCCTCTATCAGGACAGGGGCGGTCAGGTGAGGGTTGAGTGAGTGATGGTGTAACCCCGGGCCCCAGGTCGTAGTGCTACTCAAATTCCATGGGCGTGGGGGGCAGGGCAAACTGCCCCCTTTGTGCTCCCGGACGGCCCTGCATTCAGGCTGTCTGTAGAGAGGGAAGAGGAGCATGTGGGTGCCTGTTCCTTCTCACACGCAGTCCCTGTCCTACTGAGTCACTCAAGGCCCCTGGCACTGGGTTTTAGATGTTCAATGAGCTGCTCCCCAGTCCCTTGCAGAAAAGAGGCCAGGCCAGGCCAGCAGGCAGACACTCTTCATCAGCCAACCCTCTCCTTGGGCCAGACCCTTCAGTGCGTCCAAGTGTGCAACCCCCAGGCCGGACATAAGCTGCTGCAGCTTGCTTCATGGTAGCAGGTGAGTTCAACAAGGAGCCAACAAGGCCCTGGGGTGGCTTGGGGGATAAATCGGGGAAGTATTTGGCCCTTTGAGCCTGTCCGTTGCAGCTGCAGTAGCTTCTTCGTTCCAGCAGAGGGTCTTGAAGTCCTTGGGCCTTTTAGCAAAGGGTCAATATGAGTTTGCTGGTAGAACGCCCTAAATACCTGTGCACTCTTGTAGCATGGGAAAACCTGCCCATTTCTGGCTGGGAAATGCCGAGAACGCTGTTCTGTACCATTCCCCGCTGAGATGTCTGCCGTGAAGGTTAGCGGATGCTAAGCGTCCTGTACCTCTAGTGGTACCTGAAGGCAGAACCTGCCGTTCTGAATATGCAAGAGACGTAGATCAAGCTCCTAGTGATATTGGGGACTTATCCAGAGACACCTTAAAGGGGCCAGACCTTGAGGAGGTGCTGAGCACCCCCCTTTGAAAATCAGGCTCCTTTAAGGCGTCTCCAGTCAGGCACCCAAAATCACGAGTGGCTTTTGTGGCCGTGGCCGTGTGGCGTGTGTCTCCAGCGATCAGTTTGAAAAGCAGGGTGCTTCTCTTTGCAGGAGGAGGAGGAGGGAAGCCAAAGATTGCTGCCAGACCTAACAGCCGCAAGGCCAAGTCTCCAGCGCCGGGCCTGTCCTCCGGAGAGAGACCACCATCTGTTTCTTCCGTTCATTCGGAGGGGGACTGTAACAGGAGGACACCGCTAACCAGTCGAGTCTGGGAGGACAGGCCTTCGTCTGCAGGTAGCGCAGCGCTGCCCCCTGGGGGCTTTGGCTCTGCACTCTGCCAGGGGTGGGAGGGTGAGATTGCCTCCCCAGACAGACACCCGGGTCAGCGTCAGCTGAGTCGTCCCCTTAGGGAAGTTACTGCTTATTATACCTAGGGAGACCCCCATCTCACTCTTGACCCCACAGGCCCTGCTGCTCTTCCATCCCTGGGCCTCCCTTCCCTGCCAGTTGTGCTGAATTGCAAGGGGCCTCTCTGACACTGACTAGGGGGCTGGTGAGTGAATTCCCCACCCTGGGCCACCTTTTGGACCATGCTGAGTTTCTCCTTCCCTTCTGCCCCTATTCAGGTTCCACGCCATTTCCATACAATCCACTGACAATGAGGCTTCCAACCGGCGTGGTGACAGCCCCGCCGCCAGCGTCCATTCCACAAGGGAACTCCATCGGCCAGCACCACGCCTGGGAGGAGGAGCCCAAGCCCCTGCTCTGCTCCCAGTACGAAACGCTCTCAGACAGTGAATGAACGAAAGAGAGGGAGGAGAAGAGTGGACACGCGTGGGTAACGAGCTGGCCAAGGTGAACTCCGACCGTATCAGTCCATGGCGCTGTCAGCAAAGAAGCCGGAGCAGCGCTTTTCCAATCGGTCCATTTCTCACATCAGGAAATTTCTGAATCCTCTTCAGTCTAAAGCCTTAAGACAGCCAGCTGGAACCCAGCCTAGTTCTCTTTCCAGCACTGGTGTCCTCACGCAGCAGCTGAGAGCTTGAGATACAGTCTGTGAACAGCTGATGGGAGGTGGGAGGAAGCTCCAAAGGAGGCAATCGCTCACTGAATCCCAGTTGTTTACTCAGGGGAGACCAGCTGGTGCTCCAGTTCTACTCCTTAGATTCGTTGAGAACGAGGAAACCCATGTTGGGAGGAGAGCGAGCGTGCTTGGGTGCATGTGCATATACTATATGTGTGTGCGCCTAGGCACACATATAGCGTGTATTCTCTGCCTGCACACCCGTGTTGCCTGCTATCGAGTACTTGAAATAGGATTAGACTGCCCTCCCCCAGCCTCCAGGTTGTTCCATGCATTTATCAGCCCACAGGCTGCGCCACTGAATTATAAAATCAAAGGGGCCCCATTTTGTTCCTCTTGGGCTGCTTGGGATGTTCCTTTTACAGGCATCCCCTGCATGGGATTAACTTCCCCAGCAGGCCCCGGAAAAGCTTAAACAAATAAAAATTACGGGGGGGGAGGGAACTAAGGATCCATTTAACAACAACAACAAAAGTCCTTCTGAGCGAGAAATCCTTGGTTTATCTTGTAATCAAAAGAAGTTCCCCATATTGTGGTGCATTAATCTGCAGCTGAAGGGACTCCATTGCTCGAAGTGCATTGTTTCCCGAATGGTGAGAAAAAGCAATTGTAAATGATGTATTGGTCTACAGGGTATATTTTTGATACCTTCAGTGAATTATGTCAAGATGTTTGACGTGAGGAAGGACTTAAAACAGTGTTACGTGCTGCTTTCAGTCTCGGCTCCTGGAAAAGAGGTTCTGTTATTGCGTGCAAGATTTGACGAGTTTGTCCATTGTATGGAAATGTAAAAAAGGTCTCGTTGATCCATCACAGTTGTCTGTACGTCAGTAGAATGTATTAACTTAGTTAAAAAAAAAAAAATGTTGCCACAACTGCAGGGCCTCCTCATTATTACATATACTGCTCTTAAGCCAAGAGGAATTTTCTTCTCCTTACAGAGCTTTTCTCTCTGGCACGGAGATCTCAAGGGAGCCTTTCCGAAGACCTTGTCAATGTTTTTGTTTGCAGTGGGAGGGGATTCGTGAGAAACTTAAAACGTTTGTATTGTATTTTTCTGATGCACATGAACGCTCTGCTTTATATTATTTTTCATTCCATGATGTTGGATCATATCTGCAGTTACACGGTTCAAGAACAAAATATTAGACTTTTGTTTTTCCTTCACTTCTGTTTTCTCACTCTGGGGATTTGGGGGGGAAAAAAGATGATGTATTAAATGCTTTGCATTCTGCACGCTAGAGGAAAGAAGACCAGGACATAGACTTTCTGCCTCTCCCATTGCCTGTTGGAACAGACAGCTGCTGTGTTACAGAATATCTCTGATCTGCTAGGAGTATATTGAAGAAAAAGGTTCACATTGTCACACTATCGATGGGGTTTTTTCCCGACACTGTCCCAAGGGTGATTCTAATTTCAAAGCAACAGAAAGATTGTATGTGGTGGTTGGTTGGGGTGTTTTTACAATGTGCAGGTTTTTAACATTCGCAGACATTTGTGTCTTTTCTGTTGCGTTTTTTTGTTTGTTTTTTAAACGCGCAAAATATTTGGAAGTGTTTATGTTCCCCGGGTGTAACTGCTGGTGTGGCATAGCTCAGAAGCAAAAAGTTGACAGCTGACGTTTTGGGTATAATATTTTACAAACAAGTCGTAGGTTCTGCTGGGTGAAGTTCAAATTCATCCCATCTTTCCCCCTGATAGCCCTTTTAAAAAACAATTACCCTGTCAGAACAGCCTAGCGCTGTAGTAATAGTGAGGTCAGCTGCAGTGTCTTGCCAAAAACGTTGGCAATTTTTTAATGAGACATGGACACGCTTTTCACCGAAATGTTTGCCAGAAATCCATCCCATTTTTGACTGGTGCTGGAAGAGAAAAAAATGTGATTTGTCACAAAAAACGTTGCCAGTTTTCAGCTAGCTCTGGAGACTTAGACCTTTCAATGTAGCTTTTTTCTGTTTGCATAAGGGATCCAAGCTTTGTCAGCCACCGTTCGACTAGACCTCAGCTGTACCTGCAGTAGGTGACAGCAAGAGGAAATAAACCCGAGGAGCCTGTGCTAATGGGCAGAGAAAGCTGGTCTCAGACGTCGGAGGGGTTGTCATCCGGTCTTTGCTTAGCAGGATAGGTGCCTAGATCCCAGCAGTGCGAGCTGGATGGGTGTGCATTTCCCGCGCCTCGTGGGGAATCTGGCTGGGTGGTGCAGAGGGAGTGGCATTCTGCATGAAAACTAGAGCTGAGCTGGGAGGAGGGGCTGGGATTCTCTTCCGGAATGGGCTGGTCCCTGAAGGTGGCCATCAGAACGTGTCGGATAAGTGAGACGTTTAAGAATTTAGGCTGGAAGTTTCAAAGGGGGCCGAAGGGAGTTAGGCACCTGTCTATCATTGACCTTCAGGGGAAGCTTGGGAACTTTAACCCCTTTAAGCTCCTTTGCAAATCCCAGCCCAACTAGCTTGGGTTTGCTGACATAGACCCCCCCCCCCCCCCCCTATCCCGGTGTGCTGATGGAGCACAAATGATAACAACAAACACCTGTCTAGAGCCGTTCCACTTCCCTCCTTCCCATCCCCCCACCCCATTCATGCTCAGCAAGGCCTCGCCCTAGACTCTCCAAGTCAAAGTGAAAACCCTTGGACATCAGCATGGACGGTTTGGGGTTAGACCCTTGGGCATCCCCCACCAACAGGAAGAAAAGGAAACACGTGCAAAGTGCAGGGTTAAAATATAACCTGGCAAAGAGCCATACAAACATGCGCTGCTGTCTGATGACGCCCGTTGTACTTGGCAACCCGGGCTGGGTGAACGTCACTGTGATGTAGAAAGTCCTGTTACGTCAGAGGGGGGAATATCTAACGGGGAGGGGGGGAGCCCTGGAAATCCTTTCGATGTCCAGGGCAGCCGCAGCTGTTTGTCTCTGCAGCCCCTCAGCTGCCCCATTGCTTATTTTATACCCAAGGGAGGGTTTCAGGCAGAGGAGCAGGGGGAGAGTCTCCTTGTTCAGCGCTGGCCACTGTTTCCTTCCGGACGTTTGCACTGTAAAGGGTTTTAGCCCCAGAAGTCGAATACCTTGGAAGCAGAGTGAGTCTTTCAAAGCCTTAATTGAGTGGTAAGTCTTGAGTGATTGGTCTCTTTTCTTCCCGGCACTTACTGCATGCCAAGTGATGAGTGGAACCACCTGGTACGTCCCTGTCGAAGTGGGGAGCTCGCTGCGTTTAATGAGGACAGGCCTGGGATTACTGAAAAAGAACCTCCAAAACCACTCGGCAAAGGTCGTCTATTAAATCCAAACCTCTTTAGATATTGCTGAGACTCTTCGTCCGTTTGGGTTCTGTGCAGCAGTGCTCATCTTATATGGCTGGATGGACGTCATCCTGTGGCTTCTGTGGTGCCTTGCCTTTGCTAAGGGGGCATGGAAGTGGTCACCTGGGCTTTAGGCACATGCACTCACTGGAAGGAGTGACAGCCAGATGCCCAAGGTGAGCTACCCAGGAATGGTGGGTGGGTCTGTAGCAGCCAAGAGGTTCAAGCCTCTGTAGTTCTCTTCAGGCTAAAAGTATTTCCTTCTGCGAGTAGCTCTGGGGAGAGGTGCTCTGGAGCATGAAATCCTCGAGCTGCAGAACAGGAACAGCCCAGTGCCAGTTCCCCACTCTGCTCTGCAAGGGGGCCCCCAAGCCTGGCCTGCAGGGACCGGCTCTAGGGAGTGAGGATGGCCCATTTGGTTGCGAGTCTGCCCACAGCTGTCAGGTAGGGCTTGGTTCTTGCGGTCTGGGGTGAGGACAGAGATCCACCGACTCGTTCCACGCAGGCAGTTGAAATCAGGACTCTCAAGCAGTACGCTGTCAGGCGTTGTTGCTTTGCCACATGGAGCAGTTGGACAGTTCTTTTTTCAACAATGACAAACGACCGAGCTGGGAACTAGCCCAGGCTCCTCTTCACAGCGTCAAATGCTCAAAGAAAACCTTGTTAGTAAGATACCGTTCCACTCCTCTGTGTACAGTACCAGGAAAAATCAAACCACCTCAGGGCACCCACGGATCCCCACCCTGCTTCTGAATGCAGACAGGCAGTGCCCAGAGCTCACTGATGGCCTTTGCTAGGATTGTTACTGGGAGAAGGCAGAAGGATCTTTAAAAGCTCCCGACCTCAGCTTTGCAGCTTTCCGGTTGGGCTAGAGTCTGACTGAATTGTCCTGGCTCCTTGTTTGTCTAGACGCCTCCATAGTAGGTGTTGAATGATTTTCATTGGAAAAAAATGTCCCCCCAAAATCACGCACCATCTGTCATCGCCGTCCAACCTGTGCAGATATCCCTAGCGTGTGCCGCTGGAAGACACCCAGGGCAAACCCAAAAGCATGTAGCGTTGCCAGAAATAACAAACCTCCAATAGCCACATGTGCCTAGAACTTCCCTGGGCGCCCTTGATGTGACAGATCCAGCATCATTGAGTCTAAAGATAGCCCCAAACCAAGCTGAAAATGAGGTGGGAAACATACACAAGCTTGGAGTATTCACAGTTCATGGTATCCTAGGCCAAGATCCTCAAAGGTATTTAGCCATTGGTGTAAATGGAAGTTAGGTGCCTCTATACTTTTGAGGATCTGGGTCATAGGGCTTAGCTGTACTTTAAAGGGATGTTTTCTTTTAGTAAGTGAGAAATCGTATTCCCATTGAAATTAGTGGCAAAACTTCCACGGACTTACCCTGGGGCAGGATCACATCCTGTACCATACGCATGGTATTTGGCCTATGTGGGACCAAAGAAACACAGTGAGTAGGGTTAGACCTGAACTAAGATTGATCCAACTTGGGCTGTTTTTCTTTATCCGGTTGATATCAGTGACTGGAATACAGCTGCCACCATGGAGTGCGAAATGCATTTGATTGTTGTGCTTATCTTAGGCAAACTCTTCTTCCGGTGTAAATTTATTCAGGTTCAATCAGTGACGCTTACATCAATGTTGTCTACTTTGTCAGGAAAGAATGGAGGGTAGCCTCTCTCGCTCGGCAATCCGGAATAGAAATAGGTGACCCAGGATGTTGTGAGTGTGTATTCTGTGTCACTGAGGACTGGTGTTTTTCTTATAGTTACAGTACATGGTATTTCAGTGTTGCAGTGCTGAGTATGATCCAGTCTTTTGCACAAAGCTGCTGGAACAAGCAACTATTGCACTTAGAGACACTAAGATTTCAAAACTGTAACCGCACCTCAGCCCTCCGCTCGGTTTTGGGTTTTCAAGGGACTGACCCTTTTAAGAGACTTCCCCCAAAGTCATTGGCTCTCCCCAGAGCGGCGATGGTATTAGTCTGACGGGGGGTTGTTTTTACTCACTAGTAGTATGCTGAGGTGTGTGGCCAGGAGCCTGTTGCTTTAGGTTTCCGGGATGCAGTGCTAAGGAGAGATGTTGTAAATACGCTGGTCACTTCTGATGTTTATCTAACATGTTCTTGCTCACCTGCCCGGGTGTCTTTGAATACAAGGGACTGGCGTCTTCTCCAGTGTTTGTGACTACAGCCACGTGTACATTCCACACAGGGATTCGGGAATGGCTGTCCCTTCAAAACCAGGTACTTCCTTGTGCCCAGATACTGTAAATTGTGTGTGTGTGTGTGTGTGTGTGTGTGTGTGTGTGTGTACACTCCTAGACTGTGTGTGTGTGTATACATAGATCTCCATATGCATGTGTGTGTAGGTGTGCACACACACATGCTTTTACATGTGCCTGAATCGATGTATTGGCATATATCCATGGATGTACTAAACATACAAGCTGGATTTTGGTAAATCAGGCTCACCACAATTCAGCCAAATTCAGACTCCATTGACTGCAACTCCCATATAAGGTGAGCACTGTCTGTGTTAGCTGAAAGGAAAGACATCT